TTTGAATATTATAACCGTTAATCTTGGCAAAGTTCTATTTTTTATATCAAATAAGAAAGTAATCTATCAATAGTTATCATATATATATATATATTTTTTTTTCTGACCACAAAAAGCTTTCTTGATCAATAAGAAAAAAAATATTCTCTGACCACTGAAGTATTTTCAAAACTGTATATATGTTTGTAAAAAATTTTGAATCAAAAGAAATTGATAGTTTTAAATTTATCATTTATTGATTCATATGAATATGAATATAAATTAAGATCACATTTAAGCATATGCATAAAATAATCTCAAATGATCCATTTTAGTATTATTTATGTAAAAGTGAAGGTGGGACGTTTTTGTGAAAAATCATTTACGCATGCAAATGTTTTGTTGATGGTATAGCCTGATAACGATAACAAACCAAAATGGATAGCTTATCGATGAGACTTTTGCTTTTTTCTTTTTTTCTTTTTTTTTTATTTTTTTTTAGAAATGGTTTCCTTTTTTTTTTTTTTCTTATATTTGATTGAACTGTATAAATTATTATAACAATTGATTTTATACATAATTAGATTTGAAATTCCAGCTTCTTATTCCTATAATATACATTTTTACCAGATAAACCAAACTATAATTAAATTTCCAAAATTTTATCTCTTGATTAATTAATTGTCAATTTCAAGTAAAAGTTATTTTGAATCACATATTATAATTTTTTTTAATTTATATTTTTAAAGATACATATAAATTAATGAAAAAACACCTCATGTATCAGCGCAATGTTCGATTCATCATGAAACAGATGTACATTGACAAAATCGAATACACTGAAAAGTTATAAGTTAGACAAATGTTATGCTTATAAGAAATCCTGAAAAGTATTGCTTAAATTCATGCTTATGGGCAATTCCGGAAAGTATTCCTTAGTATTTTTTAAAAAATATTCCGTAATATTCGTTATTATCGTTATTATTGTTATTATCGTAATTCATTATTGTCGTGTTATATTTGCATAACTTTTCATTTATCGTTTTTTTTTTTTTTTTAAGCATATTAAATTAATAATTACAAATTGAAGTATTTATCCGAAATTGATCCTTCTCAAAAACATATATTACGGTTAATTAATTAAAATATTATACAAATTATATAGCAAAAATAAATTAACGTTTGATCGATACGAAATCGACAATGCATATATCCTTTTCGACCCCATTTAACAGTTGGCCAAAAATCTTTCGGAAATTTCGCTTTACGCAACATTCGACATTTTAGTAAACCACGATCATATGATTCAAAAACTTTTTCCAATTTAACAAATTGTTTCGCCATAAAATCATATTGTCGTATCCGTGGTAATGTCACATCATTAATGAAAAATAATGAACCAAGGGCCTGCAAATGCATGCATTTATTGCATAATTACTTTTATTATAATTATAATTTTGATATTTTGCAAAAATAAGAAAGAAAAACATTTTTAAATAAAACTAAATACTTGGAAATTCTTTAAAAAAGAAAAAAAATCAAACATTTTCTAAATTTTTTTTGAATTTGAATTTGATAAATGAAATAAAACAGAATCATATTATAAAATGTTTTTTTTTATTTTAGAAAGAAGAGAAGAACAAAAAAAATCTAATCATAATTTAAAGAAAAATAGTTTGATTATAATTTGTCCAAGGAAAAAAAAAACATACATTATAACTTTCAGGTAGATCAAACTCAAGATCCAGATAGGCACGACCAGTTGAATAACCCATTTCATGCATGATAGTTGTTACATGATTTAAAAAGTTGGTACCTGACCGATACATTCCTCAAAATTTTTCCCACCAACTTCTTGCATATGTATGGCAATAAAATGTGCATTGCTTTCTTTGATAACCTAAAATTTATATTAAAAAATTTTTAAATATTAAAATTTTTTAAATTTTTCATAGAAATTTATGAAAAAAATCATATCACACATTTATACAGGATTAATATGATAATGATGATGATGATGATGATCAGGGTGATGATGATGATGATGATGATATATTCTATTTGAAATTAATTTAAACATTAAAATTTTTTAAATTTTTCATAGAAATTTACGAAAATAATTATATCACACATTTATACAGGATTAATATGATAATGATGATGACGATGATTAGGGTGATGATGATGATGATGATATATTCTATTTAAAATTAATTTTATCTTTCGTATACTTACATTTTTATTCATTATCTCTAAGATGTATCAAAATAATCCGATGAATTCTTCTTAAATACACTATGCAAAAATTATTATAACACTAGGATACAGTGAATATGAACGATTTAAATTACTTTGATTAAGTGACTTTTACTTTAATTAAATTATTTTTACTTTGATTTGAATTACTTTGATTAAATTACTTAGGATTATGTTACCAAATAAATTAACTTATCTATCTTTATAATTACTCATCCGATGGTTTACCATTTGATTCATTGCTCATCACCTGCTTCTTTAATCACTATGATAAATCCTTAATCATCACTATCACTAACCAATACCTTAATCCTCAATATTTATCGTTTATCATTATTTATCAATTATAATATCTTATTTGTTATCAACAATTTCAATTTCTTATTTCCCCGCAAAAACATAAATACTATTTCGATCTGAATAACATTCTCATCTTGAATGATTCGAAAGAAAAAAAAAGGAAAAAACCGAAATTCTTGATATAACCTTTGCATGCTTGAAAAGCCAAATCATTCATTCTCTAATTAATTATTCTGTCCTGATCCATTAATTATCGATTCTTCCCTCTCATACATACAAGTATATACTCACATACATACACATATATACACTAAAATATTAAACATTGTTTGAATTTGAAAAAGTTAAAACTTAAATTTAGCTCAAACAAAACTGAACTTAAATTCAGTAACTTAACTTAAACTTAATTTGATGATTTTGTCTCTTTTTTCTTCTTTGTTTTTTGTGGAATTTTAAGCATTAGAAATGATTTTATCGTATGAAAATTGAAATTGAAATACTGAACTTTGAATTAATAAATCAATAATAAGTGGTAAAACGATTATAAAAAATTTCATTTCAAATTTCGCAAACTTTTACTTTCTTTCTTTTTTTTTTGAACAATGAATAAACAGTGAAATCATCCTTCCTGTCAATTTTAGAACATTTATACACTTTCATCTTTTCTACATCCTTCTTTTTTTTTTTCTGAATATTGCAAAATTATTTCAAAAAGAATATTTAATTTTTGTATATCAGAAATGATAAACATTTCCATTCTTCACTTATTTAATCTCAATTACTGTCTTTTTATTTCTTTTTTTTTTTTCAAAATGAAAAACAAAAATATTTTAATTAAATGTTCTTGGCTGGGATTAAAAGACAAAAAAAAAGAAAAAACAAATCATCCTTATAAATTTATAAATTCATTTATTTGTTTTTTTTTTTAATTTTGTATTTTTCTTTCCCTTCAAATTTTGTTTGCAAAATAATTCTTACTTGTGTAAAAGTTGCTAGCCAAGCATTATGTATTCGGCATGACTGAAAATGTACAACGATGATACATGTCAATTGAATTATCACACAAAAAATTTTTCTTCCTCTTCTTTTTCTTTCTTTTTTTTCTTCTCTCCCTCAACTAATACTATTTTGTTGAAATGAAAAAATTTTTTAAAAATAAATTTCACAGAATTAATGAGCAAAATTAATGACTTTAAATAATTGGATGAGAAAAATAAATATTGCATTGAAAAAAAAAA